CCCCCTCACTTGACACTGTCTGCCTGTTTTCCCAGTTTAGCCTGGGGGACAAGGAGGAGGCAGTGCCATCATTGCACAAGAGACCTCTGGCTGGACAAGGCTTATACCATGGTCTCCAGGGGGTAAAAATGCAATCCTGGCTGGTGGTACTCTTTTCCTGTGAGAATAGTGGATGCCACTCCATGAACCACAACTCCACTTGCTATTCAAGTTATTCTGGTTCACTCGTTCTGCTTCACTACAATTCTCTGTTCATTTTCCACTTGTTCCTCCCATGGCTTTCCATTACTGAGAGTCACTACCTGTTCTTCATTCTTACTTTGTGGAAATCAGGTTCTGGCAGGGTGTGTTGGGAGGAAGCAGGAGGACAAGGATAAAGAATAGCATGATTTCATTGCAAATCATAATGACTCTTGTTGATTGAGGGAGGGAGGGGCCATCCCCACTTCTACCTAGCCTTGGGTACTATCCATGAAGATCTCATCTCCCTTGTATCTGGTTCATCCCCATTTCATGCCCACTTGTGTTCCAAGTACACTACAGTCTTGGGGAAGAGGATGGGGGAAGATGCAGGTTGGTGGGAAGAGTCATTTTCTGGACCTCTGGCCAGTTGAAATGTGCTGATGACATAGCCAAGTCATGGTTCATATTCTGCCTTTGCCATTGCAAATTCCTACAGGCCCATTCATGGTGCATTCCACTGACAAAAGCATTCTGCTGGGGGTGGTGTTCTTTCCTTAGGAAGTAGGCCATTGTGTCACCTTGCTACTCCATGTGTTGGTTACCACCCTATGAAGATTTCAGGCTCAAGATCCTTCAAAACACCCTAGGAGGAATGAGGGTGCTCATTTTCTCCATCCTCTTCCCCTTCTCATGACATCCATCTTGTTTGCATTGCCTTTCACTTTCTACTGCTAACCAGGCGAGGTATAGTGTTCTCTGGAAAAAGGCAAGTGTCCTTCCTTCCTTTGCTTGTTGGTTAGGGGTAGATGCACTATCCTAGCATGGGTCCTTGGGAGACACTACATCTTTTATTGAAATTGATCAGGGTTGAGGGTCACCAGTAGTGTTCCTTTAGTCCTGCAAAAACAAACAAACAAACGAACAAACAAAACAACAACAACAACAACAAAAAACCATCTGCATGTTACTTGTGAACAAATAGGTCCCCAGATGTATGATCAGCAAAAGACCTCAAGACTTTTGTCTACTTGCAAGTCTTCTCCCCATGGAAGCTGGAAAGTTTCAAAGTTGGGCTAGGAGACACCACTTCAAGATGTCCCCTGTGACCTTATCTTCCCCTCCAATTCCACAACAGCATGGTATTCAATGTGTGCCTGTAAACTGTCCCTGCCATTTCAACATGAACAGTCCCATTCACACAGGCAAGTACCCAGAGATATGGACACCTACCAATATACCAGGACACACTTATACTCCCCTTCCCGCAGACTTGACTATCACTACTTATGTATATACCCAAAGACACAGAAGCCCAAGGCTTAGGTCATCCTTTGCCTGTGTCCACTTTTCCCTTTCCCTCTCTAACCACCCTCCAACAGAGTAGACACACACTCCACATCACTCACTAATCTGGTATCAGAAAAGGTCAGAACTTCTCTTCTTCAAGCCTTGTTAGGCTTCTCTTCTCCAAGCCTTATCAACCAAGTAAATCATGGGGGCAACTCTGGCTTCCTCTTACAAATTAAAGGAAGGAAGCTATCACCTAGGCCCAAAGAGCAGGTGTGAAAGTGGAGCATACTCTGTATTCTTGGGTCAACTGTTCCCCTCCCAACCTCTTCTACTGACATTAAGGACCAAGGGAGTCCTCTGTTGAGAGGCCAGGAGCTTCTGATGTGTTCTTTGGCCTTCTGCAGGTCCCCTGTGAAGCCAGACCAGCTTACCAGGAGTCAGACTGGATTGAGTTGCTAGGTGCCTCTTCCCCAGCAAGCTTCTGCCTCCCAACCTGTGGTTGGAAGTTGCCTGGCTTTTCCTGTCTGCTTTGCTTGGGCCATTTGAAGATGTTTGTGGCCTCTCCCTAGGCCTTGGTCAAGAAGCCTGGGGTTTCAGGGAAACAACAATAACAACAACAACAAAAAAACACAACAAAACCATGAATCTGCCTCTGATTTGTGACTAGCACCTGGTGTGAGGAGCCAGCCTAGGATACAGATCCTGGAGTGGAGTCTCTCGGTGATCCTCAGGACAAGTCCTTTCCCTGTTCCTTCTTGCCAGAGCAGGAAGTGGGGAAGGCAAAAGAATGCCTGATCACTGGAACAGGATTTCTGCGGCCTCTGCACCTCCCTGGTTCTTCTTCAGTCCGTTCTATGAGTTTGCAGGTCCAGTTGGGGCATGGTAGCCCCTTTTTTGCTTTCCATTCCTCATTCCCACATTTTAGACTGCTGCATTCCTTTTTTTTAAGACGCAAAGGGCGGGGGGAGAGTGGAGTGGAGAGGCAGGTGGTGTCCTGTTTGAGAAGTGTAGTGCTCTACCGCCATCAAGTGGAATGAGTTTCTGATGAGTGGAGTCGATTGGGCACCAGAGCCCAGTCCAGCCGAGCTCCGTGCAGGAACAGGGCCGCGATCCACCACCGCCATGGCCACCGCGAACTTAGGTGGACGGTTACACCCTGGCTGGCACTTGCCCCAGCTCATTCCAAGCACAAGGGACACCCTGACTCCACCAGGGAGCACGCAGGAAGAAAAGGCTGACAGTGGGCGGCCCTCCATAGCTGCCACAGACTGCTATCTTCCCGGCGAGGAAAGGGGCCTCCTGGCCTCAGCGTGTGGTGACCTCAGGCAGGGAGACAGAGGGAGCACCTGCAACTCTTGACCTAAGACCCCAGACCCCAAGGCCAGAACCCAGCTCAGTCAGCGGCCCGCGACTTCTCCTGGGCCAGTCCTAAAATGGCGCCACATGCAGCTCCGCCCCCTGTGCTGGTTGGTGCAGCTCTACTGCCTGGAGGGTCCCAGGGCCCCTGGACGGGCTGCTTTCCCTGGGTAGGGTCCTGAGGGCAGGCAGGCTTCCCCCTGTGTTTTGGACCCCTGGCCGGGGGAGACCCTTACTTGACCAGAGTACGCTTTTCCCAGCCCGTCTTTGCTCTTACATCCCCATACCACACCACCCTGGTGCCAGGCTGCTGGCACAAAGCAAGTGTCCCTTCTGCTTGGGTTTTTCAGAAACTATTCCCGCTAGATGTCACTGTGGTTCCACAAATAACAGTCACTCTTTTCCCCACCCCCACCCAGGCTTCCATTTCCTCCTTTTGTTATCTGAAAACACCAGAGAGGATGCCTGTGGCACCTTAAGTCAGGCTGTAGACCTTCCTTTCTTGGTCCCTTTCCTGGCATATCTGGCTCTCTGCTTCTTCCTTTTTTCTGGATTCACCTCTTGGTTTTTGTCCCTGTGGACACAGACCTACTTTTTCTCCTGTGCATTGCCCAATCTGCCTTCTATTGACTTGGAAAGGGGGTGGGGATGCACATTCCACATTTCCCTAGACAGCTGCTTGTCTCACCAGAGCAGGAACCAGGGCATTTACTTCTCCCTTGGTAGCCAAGTCCCTTGTGACCAAGGAGCCAAGGATCCACTGCAAAGTATCAGGTCAAAGACACCTGCTAAAGAACCTGGTAGGACTGGGAGATAGGAAGGGTACCTCATCTCCTCAGGCCACCTTCCTCACAGGATCCCTCTGTACTCTCTGTGCCACAGTTTTTGTGCCCAACCTGAGATGTTTCATGAGTGCCTTTCTATGGAACGCTATTGGTGTTTCATACAATGCATTGGCCCACTGGTTGGGATCTAGATGTCCCTGGCGCAGGCATAGGTAAGTCAGGCTGGCAGGCTTCAGTACTACACTAAGAGCAGTGCTTGTATCAAGTTAAGGGGTTCTAGATCCAGTTGGTGTTTAATCCCTTAGGGTGGGGATGAGGTTGTGGAAGAGGGAAGGTTGGAGGATGGATGTTGGAAGTAGCTTGCCCTAAGTGAAAGTGTGGGAGTGAGAAGGCCTATGAATAATCCCTATACATAGATATTTCCCCTCTGAATCTGAGCTCTTGGGCCTCCTGATAAGTCAGACATGGAGGTAGAAGGTAGCAGGGTGGAATGGGGAGGAGGGCGATCTTTTAGTGCAAGTGTGCATGTGTGCCTCTGTGTGTGTGTTTGTGTGTGTGTGTTAGACCATCAGTTGAAAGGTTTCCATGGAGACAGGCCAGCTCAAGTAGCAGGGCCTTTATGCAAGGCTGGTGTGGATGCCAAACAGTGATCACTTTGCTGCGAGAGTTCTTTAAGGCTCCCTTTGACACTGCATGGAGAGAAGTGTGCCTGGTACAAATATTGAGTATGCCAAATGTCTCCTGTATTTCTGGAGGCGTAGGCCATAGTGGGAATGCACCAATATCTAGGGCAATGAATTGACCTCCCAGAATATCATAGTGCCTTGGAATATCATCCTGTGGACCTGTTTAAGTATGGATTTAAGCTTTTGTCTATGCTTCTACTCTAAGATGTAGCTGAAAGTAGAACAACATTTAAATATGTGGAGAAGAAACCAAAAGCCAGCAGCAAATGCACCTGAGAACAGGAGCCACCTCCATCTACTGTCCTGTCACCTCTCACCTACTGTGGATCTTGTCCTTCTCTGTAGTAATCATAAGGTCTCCTACTGCACTTGCTTAGAGAAAAGCTGAGGAGAAAGAAATGCAAGGAGGTGGACATAGGTGGTGAGATGCCCCCTCTCAGTGTCACAGGTCATCTTTTTTGCTCATTGAGTTGCATGCACTCACTTTTCACCCTTGAGGACAGCTGAGCTTACCTATGTCCTCAGTTACATGCATCCCCATTTAATCTGAGGGGAGCAGGTCTGTGCATGCATGCACCCACATTCACACTCAGGCGACCCACAGTGAGGCTCGGTGGGCTGGAGCCCTTGACTGACTTGTCAGTTCCCTGTGTTTCCCCATCCCCCTCCTCCCTTGTTCCTTTCTGCCTTCCCACTTCAGCCAGGGGGACTGTGTGGAGGAAGCAGCAGCATCAGTGGCGCAACAGGTCTCTATCTGCACAAGGTTCACACCCTGGTCCTGTTTTGCTGAGAAGACAGCCTTGGCTGGTGGCTCTCTTCCCTGGGAGGACAGGGGATACCACTCAGTGGGACACCTGTGCATTTGTTACTTAAGGTATTCTAGTTGACTTCTGCCTTACTATAATTCTGTTTTTGTTTTTCACCTGTTCCTCCCCTGGCTTTCCATTTTTGCTCGTCTTTTCTTGTTTTTCAATTGTTTCTTTGTTGTTCTGACAGGAAGGGGACCTTGAAAGGAAGCAGGAGGATCAGACAGAGAATGAAATGACTTCATTGGAAATCATAATGACCTTTGTGGACTGGGGGAGTGAAGAGCTATCCCCTCTTCTTTCTTGCCTTGAGTACCATGCACACAGATCAAGTTGCCCTAGCCTCATCTGATTTTATCCATTTTGTGTCCACTGTGTTCCTGGTTTCTGCACCTATCTTGGTCCTTGGGAAGATGTGTGTGTGTGTGTGTGTGTGTGTGTGTGTGTGTGTGGTGTGGGGGGGATGCAGATGGGGGTTGGGGAGGGTCACTCTCTCCTTGCCCCAGAAAAGTTCTACAGGTACACTCACTGGACATCCATCAACAAAAGCATTTCCAGTGGTATTTTCTTTCCCTGGGAAGGAGGCTGCTTGTGTCGCCTTGCCTCCATGTATTGGTTACCACCTTCTGTAGAGTTCCTGACCTAGATCCTTGAAAACACCCCAGATGGACTGAGGGTTCTCATTCTCCTCCTAGTCCTCCTCCTCTCATGTCACTGCTTCTGCTTTGTGTTGCCTTTCACTTCCTCCTGCTAGGCAGTCCAGGGCCAGTGTTTTGTGGAAGAAGGAAAGTGTCCTTCCTCTCCTTGTTAGTTATAGAGTAATGTACCTCCCCAGGTGTAGACAATGTGGGATACTCCCTGTCTTGAAATTCAGCAGGGTTGAGGGTCACCAGAAGCATCCCTCTAGTCTTGAAAATTCATGCACATGTTACTTGTGAATGAGATAGGATCTGGATGCACAGCCAGGAAATAGACATCAAGGATTTTCTTTCTTTGTGAGTCTTCTCCCAATGGAAACTTGAAAGTTTCAGTCAGTCCAGAAGGTACCACTTCAAAGTATGCTCCTTGGCTTTTTCCTCCCCTCCAATCTTGTGTACACATCAGTATGGAAGTCAGTGAGTACTTATACACAGATTCTGCAATTTCCACATCCATGCTCCCATTCAGACTAGCAGGCACACACACATACACAGATACATCTACAATACATGGGATGCCCCTTCCACAGACTGGCCCACACATCTAAGGAACATTGGAGCACAGAAGCCCAGGTACGGTGTGATCCCCTTCTGGTACACACACATCTCTCTCTCTCACACACAACAGGGTAGAAACACACTCCCAACTCCTATATGGTGTCTAGAAAAGGTCAGTCAAGGGCTAGGGTTGTGGTTCGGTGGTAGAGTACTTACCTAGCACGTGTGAGGCACTGGGTTCAATCCTCAACACCATATAAAAATAAATAAAATTAAGGTATTTTGTCCATCTACAACTAAACAACAAAAAAAGTCAACCATTCTCTGCTCCAAGACTTAACAACTGTGGGGCAATTCTGGCCTCTTCTGACAAATGGAAGAAAGAAGTTATCACCCAGGTCCAAGGAGCAGGTGTTAAAATAAAGTATAGTCTGTAGTCCTGCTTAAACAGCAACCCTCCAAGCTCTCCTGTTGTTGGTAAGGACAAACTGAGTCCTCTGCTGAGAGGTGAGCCTCTGATGTGTTTTGTAGCCTTCTGCATGTCCCCTGTTAAAAAGCCAGGCTAGCTTCCCCAGAGTCAGATTGGAGTGAGTTGCTAGGTACCTCCTGCCAGGGAATTCCTGCTTCTCATTCTGTGACTGCAGGCTGCCCTGGCCTTTCCTGGCTGCGTTGTTTGAGCCATCTGAAGGTGGTATGGCCTCTCCTTAGACCTTGGTCAAGAAACCCAGGGCTTCAGAAAAAATGATGAGTCTGGCAGCTCTGTGACAAGGACTTGGTATGTGGAGCCAGCTTACCATTTGAATTCTGGAGTAGAGTAACAGTGATCCTCAGGACAAGTCCTTTTTCTTCTCCTTCTTAATTTTTTGGTACCAGGGATTGAACCCAAAGGTGCTTAATCACTGAGACACATCCCCAGCCCTTTTTAATATTTTATTTAGACACAGGGTCTCACTGAATTTTTTAGGGCCTTGCTAAAATTTTTTAGGGCCTTGCTGAGGCTGGCTTTGATCCTGCCTCAGCCTTTAGGTTTTGCTGGGATTACAGGCATGTACCACTTTGCCCAGCTCCCTTTTCCTTCTTCGAAGAACTAATCAATTCACATTAGACCAAAGACCTAGGAATTAGACCAGGAAACTTGTATATGCTAGAAGAAAATGTAGGCCCAACACTCCAATATCAGCTCAGAAGCTGACTTCCTTAACAAGACCCCAAAATGTAAGAAGTAAAATAAAAATCTTGCCACCCGTACATCAGATAGGGTGGTTAATATCCAAGATATAAAAAAACCCCTCAAAAACCTAAGACCAAAAAAAAAAAAAAAAAAAAAAGTGCACGATAATCCAATCCATAAATGGGCAAAGAAACTAAGTAGACACTTCTCAAAAGAAGAAACATGAGTGGTCAAAACATGTTCAATACCTCTAGCAATCAGAGAAGTACAAATTAAAACTGCACTGAGATTTCATCTCACTCTAGTCAGAATGGCATGTTATCAAGAATACAAGTAATAATAAATGTTGGCAAGGATGTAGGGAAAAAAGTGTACACTCATATATTGCTCATGGGACTGCAAATTGGTGCAACCACTCCGGAAAGCAGTATGGAGATTCCTCAAAAAACTAGGAATGGAACTACTATTTGACCCAGCTATCCCACTCCTTGTTATATATCCAAAGGATTTAAAATCAGCATACTACAGTGACACAGCCACCTCAATATTTATAGCAGCACAGTTCTCAATCAATAGCTAAGCTAGGTGCCCTTCAGCAGATGAATGAATAAAGGAAATGTGGTACATATACACAATGGAATATTACTCAGCCATAAAGAAAAATGACTTTTTGACTTGTGACAGTAAATGTGTGGATCTGGAAACTATCATGCTAAGTGAAATAAGCTGATCCCCCCAAAGCAAAGGTTGAATATTTTTGCTGATATGTGGAAGTTAACCCACAATAAAAGGGGGGGGGGATTTGTTCAGTGGGGTAGACAAAGGGAAATGAAGGGAAGGGAGGGGAATGGGAAAAGGAAAGACAGTAGAATGAATCTGACATAACTTTCCAACACACACAAAGGAGTACACAGTGAATCTTGCAATCGTATACATCCACAAAAAAAAAATTAATTTAGAAAACATGAACTGGAGGCTGGGGATATAGCTCAGTTGGTAGAGTGCTTGCCCCACAAGCACAAGGCCCTGGGTTCAATCCCCAGCAACAAAACAAAACAAAATACCCAATGATTGAACTAAAGTGGCTGGGGTTGTGGCTCAGTGGTAGCCTGGGATGTGTGAGGCACTGGGTTCGATTCTCAGCACCACATAAAAATAAATTAAATAAAGGTTTAACGACAACTTGAAACAACAAAACAACAACAACAAAACCCAACAATAAACCAAAAACATGAACTGGGTAAATGGGAGAAAGATTAATAGAAGGAAGGGAGAAATAAGGGAGAAGGGGGTAGGGAGAGGGAAGGAAAAGGAGAGGTACTGGAGTTTGCATTAGAACAAAATATAGTCCATGCTTGCATAATTATGTCAAAAAGGATTCTCCTCTCATGTATAACTAAAAGAACCAATTAAAAAAAAAAAAAAGTGGAGTTACACCAAACCAAAAGGTCCCAAGAAAGAGAAAGTCACAGAAATACCTGGATGCTGGAACAAGATTCCTATAATTCCTATGGATCTCAACCTACTGCTTCATGGTCAGTTGATCCTGGGAGTTTGCAGTAGGTCTAGTTGGGGCATGGTGGCTCTTTTTTGCTTTTTTTTTGGGGGGGGGGGGTCAGATCTTCTGGAAGAATCAGATAGGAGCCTTTTTTGCTTTCCATTCCTCCTTCCCACATTTTAGACTGCTGCATTCTTTTTTTTAAGATGCAAAGGGCGGGGGCAGAGTGGAGTGGAGAGGCAGGTGGCGTCAACTTTTGAGTAGCGCTGTGCTCTACCGCCATCAAGTGGAATGAGTTTCTGATGAGTGGAGCCAATTGGTCACCAGAGCCCAGTCCAGCCCAGCTCCGTGCAGGAACAGGGCCGAGATCCACCACCGCCATGGCCACCGCGAACCAAGGTGGACGGTTACGCCCTGGCTGGCACTCGCCCCAGCTCATTCCAAGCACAAGGGACACCCTGACTCCTCCACCAGGGAGCAGGGAGGAAGAAAAGGCTGACAGTGGGCGGCCCTCCATAGCTGCCACAGACTGCTATCTTCCCGGCGAGGAAAGGGGCCTCAGCGTGTGGTGACCTCAGGCAGGAGCACCTGCAACTCTTGACCTAAGACCCCAGAACCCAGCTCAGTCAGAGGCCAGCGGCTTCTCCTGGGCCAGTCCTAAAATGGCGCCCCAGGCAGCTCCGCCCCCTGTGCTGGTTGGTGCAGTTCTATTGCTTGGAGGGTCCTAGGGTCCCTGGGTAGGGTCCCGAGGGCAGGCAGGCTTCCCCTCGTGCTTTGGACCCCTGGTGGGGAGATTGTCCTTGGCTGGAGTACGCTCACTGCATTCTCACATCCCCATTGCACACGACCCTGGACACCTGACTACTGGAGCAAGTGTCCCTCTGCCTGGGGTTTTCAGAAACTGTTTCCACTAGATGGCACTGTGGTTCCACAAATGACAGTCACCCCTTTTCCTACTCCCCCCCCCCGCCCCGCAGCGTAATTTTCCTCTCCTTTCCTTTGTAATCTGAAAAACACCAGTCACTGGACGCCCTTGGGACCTTCAGACAGGGTGTGGACCTGCTGTGCTTGGGCACCTTGGAGGCAAAACAGGCTGTTTGTGGGCAAACCCAATTCATTTTTCATTTACTCTGGATTCCCCTCTTGGTATGGGTCCCTTTGGACACAGACCTAGGTTTCTAGCATTCATCCCCCAACCCTTCCTTCACAGGTTCTCGCTCTCTCTCTTTTCCCTTATACATTCTCTTTTTTTTTCCATATTGTACTTCAATCACTATTTTTTTCCTTTTTCTTTTTTTGTGATATAGCTGCTCTTTTTTCCAAGACTTTTTTTTTTAATATTGGGGTTCATTTTGACATATTCATACAAGCATAGAATATAATTTACTCCAATTCAGTCCCTAGTACTTCCCCCTTTCATCCCTCCTCCCTCTCCAGTTCCCTTTTCTCTACTGGATTTTCCTTCTATTTATTTGTAGTTATTTTCTTTAAATTAGTACTTTATAGATAAACATAAAGGTTAAATTCACTTTGATATATTCATATATGTACATAGGATAGTTTGGTCAGTTTTCATCCCACCATTTCTCTTTTCCTATCCCTCCTCTCTCCTGCAGTCTTTCCATTCTTGTACTCAGAGCTCTGATTCATTACCTTTTTTAGGGGGAGAGGGTACTGGGAATTTAACGCAGGGGCATTCCAAGATGGAGCCACATCCCCAGCCCTATTTTGTATTTTACTTAGAGACAGGGTCTCACTGAGTTGCTTAGTGCCTCACTTTTGCTGAGGCTGGCTTTGAACTCAGGATCCTCCTGCCTCAGCCTCCCTAGCCAGTAGGATTATAGGCATATACCTGGCCTGATCCATTACCTTTTTTTAAAAAAAATTTTAATTTATTTTTTAGTTGTTGATAGACCTTTTTTTTAAAAAAAAAATTTTATTTATATCCAGTGCCTCACACATGCTAGGCAAGTGCACTATCACTGAGCCACAGCCCCTGCCCCTGATCCATTAACTTTTAAGAAGCAAATTCCTTGGAGCTGAAAGTGAGGGAAGAAGTGTTTTAGTTAACTTTTTCACTGCTATGACTAAAAGACCTGATGAGAACAATTTTAAGGAGGAAAACTTTATTTTGGGGCTCATGGTTTCAGATGTCTCAGTCCATAGACAGCTAGCTCCATTCCTCTGGGTTCCAGGTGAGGCTCAACATCATGGTGGAAGAGTGTGGTGAGAGAGACAGAGAGACAGACAGACAGACACAAACTGACTAAAATCGCCAGATACAAACTATATATACCCCAAAGGCACAGCCCCAATGAACTACCTCCTTCAGCCACACTCTACCTGACTTCAGATATCATTCAATCCCTATCAGAGGATGAATTCACTGACTGGGTTAAGGCTCTCGTAACCTAATAATTTCATCTCTAAACCTTCTTCCACTGTCTCACACATGAGATTTTCGGGAGCACCTCACTTGCAAACCATGAAAAGAGTCCAGCCAAAGGCTTCTTGTATAGTACAGAACAGTGGAGCACAGGTGGGGAGAGTTTGTCCATCATTAGATACCAAGAGGAGAAAGGGGTCTCATTCTGTGAGCTCAGAGACAATGTAAGATACTTATACAAAGTGAATAAAAAGTACAGCCAGCATGAAAGTTGAATATCAAGGTAAATAATTACATAAGTTTTTAAAATTTAAACAACAGCCTTGAATAATAAGAGATTTGGGAAGATCTTGTGGCTAGGAATAGATTTGCTATGACCACGAGGAACCATGAACCTCATGGTATGAATAAAAAGTAAGAACATCTAAGTATCATTGAACACATAAAATATGCTAAGCATTTTATTTTATTTTTTATTTGTGCAGGTTTTTCTTTTTATTTGTTCTTTTTACTTATATAAATTAAGATTAATTTTGACATTAATATATTTTTGTTCTTTGTCCCATTTCCCTCAATCACAGTGTAGCACAACTTACATTTTTTATTATATCCTGCACTTTATTTGGGGAAGATAGTTAATCTTTTTACTGTGTTGAGAATTATTTTACTTGGCTGATTTATCAATATTTACTGTATGTCTTTGCCTTCTTATGATAGAAATGAGTGTTTTACCAATAAATTGAAACATATTTCTTTTTCTCATAGACTGTTGTTTTTGTCTTTTTTAGTTATTTTTTGTGTGGTGTGTCTTTGGGGATTATTGGTTTATACCTATATAGGCTTTTTTGAAGACTGAATAAACTCAATATTTTTATATTTAAAATTATTTTCATGTGTTCAATTATTATTTCCTTTTTTGGAGTCATTTTAAAAACACATTAAAAAAGTTCTTTTGCAGTACTATGTGGTCCAATGCTATTTATTATTTATGTGACATTATAGCTTTGTTATCAAATCTAGTAGCATAAAAATTATAAAAGATTATAGAGCATACACTTCATAGAGTACAAAATATACATGGCCTGTAATGATCAATTTTGTTTACTTCACTCCTTTCTCATCATATTTGCAACAGTCAAATGTCTCCAGAATATCTATTATTTATAAATATAGTGTGAATTATGTGCTCTCCATGAAAGTGTAAAATTTTAATGTGTTTTAACAGCATTCTAAATGTAATGTTCGTGTATTTTGACTTATATTACACTTGTGG